ATTCTTCCCCACCTCTACGAAGAATCTCAGCGAGTCAAGAACAGCCCCACAGGGATCCTTCCCAGGGCAGCTCTGACCTTGAAGCTTCTCCGTGAACTTAAGGAGAGACTGGTGACTACCAGCCGGGATAAAAGCATACAGGAGCGCCTGCAGAATGATGAGCTGATGACGCCGGACGGCGATTGGCCGTTCCTGGAGTGGAGCTCCACCGATCAGAAGATGACAGAGTCGGTGGAAGATCCTCTCACTACGGCTCAAGTTGTTTCAGGATTGGGGGACGCAATCACCCGAATCTCCTCCGATCCGGAACACATCAAGCTCTTCAAAACTTCGCGGCCATTGGCTGAGAGCATGACGGGAGGTCCAGTCCGAATCCAGATCCAGCTGTCAACCAGGGCGGCCACATCTGATTTGCAGGACACCTTGCAGTCCCTAGTTGGTAATACCGCCTTTTCGCTCATAAATGCGGATTTTCAGCGAATGGGAACTCAGCCCTCGCCGCTGGTTCGCCAGATTCGCGATTTGCTCTCCTGATCTCTTCCTGAGGAATAGATCATTGATCGGACTTGCCCCACGAGCGGGCCGGCCTGGTGCTAAGAGCTAAGTCGAAAAGTAACCCCCTTAGCAGAGGAGCTACTCCCACCCTGTGCACAATCGCGAGGAGGCTGTGGCATCTTTCGACGAGCTGCGAGGAGGCCCTCCCGCGGAGCACTCTGCATGATGCAGGGATCTCTGGTAGAGCATCACAGACGTTCCTCTTTTGGATAAAGCGTTCAGGCTGAGAAGCTTTCAGGTTCGGCAGTGCATTCCCTCCTTCTCCCAACATGTACGACCAGACGCCGACTCACTTGGCTATGCTATGATGTTGCTTCCGACGATAGCAGCCGTCCACTATCTGCACCAGAAGTCCCAAGGTTTGGAGATACTCCCCTGGGCGGTGCTCACAGAGCTGCGAGAGAGAGTGAAGGCGCTCGGGCTCATCACTAAGGACGAGATCCTAAACCTTTCCGTGGAGTTACTCCCGGAAAGCGGGGTCCGGCAGGTGATCAAGCACTTGCACGTCATCTCCGGCATAGACGAGTGGGGGCAGATCAGGTACCGACGGCGAAAAGTTCTGACCGAGCAGGGCTTAGAATATCTTACCCTAGCTCGCATCACCTCTGGGGAACTGGTGGCCCCAGAAAACATCTCCCTCCACAGATTCGACCTCGACTCTCTGGAGAGAGAGACTCACATAGTATCATACGTGAGTAAATTCTTATCGGTCGACACCAGAACAGTCTACCTGTAGGAGGTGGAGGCTCTGAGGGCCACGTTCTTCGCCGAAGATCGCAAGTTGAATTTGGCTACATCAATGTGGGACGTGTCGTACAATCGTCTCATGGGAGACTCTCCCCAACAATTGGAGGAGTTTCTCCCCTTGCCATGTGTGTACAGCTGGTGGAGTTTCTCCCCAGGGGTTTTTAAACAGTAGGAGAGCATCAGGTGGAGCTTCTCCCCTCGTCTTGGTGGAGTTTCTCCCCCAATGAGGGATGTACAGCTGGTGGAGGTTCTCCCCAGGGGTTTTTAACAGCTCTGAGGAGTGCAGACTCAAAAATGTCCCATCATCTGCCAAGTGCAACTCGGCACCTTCTGCAAAACACCTCCAATGATGCAGGTCCCTCTTTGTGGTGGGCTGGTGCTCAGACGGCCAATCACCTGTCAAGTGCCTGAAATTCAGCTTGTGCCAACACATCGCAGGTTTCTCTCAAAAGCCAGCAACATGTCACGACCAGAGTCAACTCAAGATCCCTCGTTTCAGGATGAGTATGCGGATTTCTGCCAGCGACGGATACGTGATCAACTTCCGCATGTCACATATAGAAATTTTTTGCGTCAGTGGAGGCGCTCCGCCCGTGCTCACGGCGAAAGTTATCCAGCACATAAAGGTGCCTCAAAAGGCACTGGTGGATTGGAAGAGCCGGGAAGTGGAAAGGGTGGAGTCACTCCCCCCCCTCCTCCTTCCAAAAAGAGAAGCACTGGGCAAAGCGAGGGTGGAGATACTCCCCCTGCAGCAAAGGCCAAGAGTGGAGATCCTCCCTCAGGGGACCCCTCTCCACAACAGGCCACCGATGAACGAACTGAAGCGGCCCTCAAAGTACTTCAGTTTGCGGGGTATACTCCTTTCCCCAGTCTGATCACAGACTGCGCCGGCTCCATCACCGACCTGAACAACCACAGAATCATGGTGACAGTGACCCAGCAACTCCGAGATGGCCTCGATCAGGCGGAGAGACCGACCCCGGAGATCGCCAATGCCCTTCTCGAGACCTTCTGAGCTTCCCGCCGGGGCCTGGCCAATGAATCCCTGCAGTCGAAGCTTGGTTTCCCAACAGCGGAGGAGAAGGGATGGTTTAGATTTGAGTATTCTTCTCCGAACATACTTCCTGCCGGAGACAGCGAGGTTGCGTTCCACGGCACACACCTGGAATGTTTGCATGGGATACTAGCCACAGGAAGACTTCCACCTTCAACGCCGGATCTCTCAGGCACAAGAAGCTTCGAGGACCGCCCAGGAGTGTATCTCCACAAGCTTTCAAACAGGCATCTCGCGGCCGGATACAGTTGCCTGGTGAGGATAGGACCTCGCCACATATTCGTCCGGCCCATGATCGAGGCGGAAGCTGCTCACTCTGGATCGCAAAAACGTGGCAAGAAAACAAATCAACTTATATACTCCTTTGACGCAGTGAAAATCCGAGCGCTGCTGCTCCAAATCTCAACAAAGGAGACTCTCTCCTTAGGCGATTATCTCCGCGAGTGGAGCGGAATGCTTGAGATTCCGCTTCGACAGGCTCGTGACTCATTCACAGCTCTGGGATATGATCTGCCTAGTGAAGCGGCCTCGTCAGATCGAGGAAAGGAAGGAGGAGTTCCTCCCCTTCCAGCTCCAGAGCCAGCGTCAGGGTCAAAGGGTGGAGTTCCTCCCCCGACTGAGATCGTAGAGATCACTGACTATAGCTCAGTCACACCAAGGAGCTCCTCTATTGTGGCATGGGAGGGTGAACCAGGTGACCTAGGCGACTATAGCACTGCCTCCACGAACCCAGAGACCAGCTTCTCGTTCGAAGTATCCAAAGCGCTGGCAGCATGCCTCAGGCACGGACATAGACCGTACATCAATGTCACTTCGGCAGGCTGGGCCAAGCTGGAGGACGTGGTGTCATGGCCACGAGTGCAGAACCAGAACGCCACGGCCGGCGACCTCATGGAGATTGTTCGTCACAACACCAAAGGCAGGTACGAGTTGGGAGACTGCCAAGGCAAGAAGTATATCAAGGCGCTGCAAGGACATTCTCGCTCGGACGTGAACTCGACAGAGGTGTTAGAGGAACTCACGGAGGAGATGCTCCCCGGAATGCTCTACCACGGCACATTCTGGTCCTTGTACGACCCAATACGTCAACAAGGCCTTCTGCCACAAAACAAGATCTCCAAGGGCCGCGGCAAAGGAGGACGTGGCAGGGAGGGACGGCAGCATATCCATTTCGTGTCGGACAGCGACTATGGGAAACCAGGCGTCTCCGGCTTCAGAGAAAGCTCGTCCATGTTGGTGGCAGTAAACCCACGCAAGGCCTCACAGGCAGGGGTGAAGTTTTTCCGTAGCAAGAACGGCGTGATTCTCACCCCCACCGTCGTGCCTCCTTCTGTCATAGAGTACTATCAGAGCCTGAAATCAGGCACTAAGTACGGAGGCGACAATAGGCCGCTCTGACTCCAGAAAGAGAGCCCCGCCAAATGGTGGAGTCGCTCCCCAAGCAGACTTTGCAGCCGCTCAGGCAATAAATCGGAGGCTAAAAGTTAAGGGTTAACTCAGCATGCATCAACTGCCAGCAACCAAGTATTCCGAGGTCAGATCCACAATTCGATGCAGAGCCTCGGGCCAAGTCTTTGCAAGTGAACTGCCAGCCAAAGGGTCACAAAAAGCAACTTTTGCATGTATCTCACACAGGCTCAATTCACCAGCTGTCTTGATTCCAGTAGCCATGCCCGAAACTCCGAAGAAGAGTGGCACCAGAGCGAACTCCCGCACCCCTCCACCAGTGAGGCGTCGTCCTCACCTATCCAGGTCGCCGCCATCCAGTGATGCTATCCGGGAGTCAGACTCAGACGACGCAGTGGCACCCAAGGCTGATGCACCTAAGGGCCCGCCGCCGCCGGTGCCTGTCAATCTGTCGGGAAGTGGATCCAGCACAGATCGGGCACCAGGAGGCACAGGTAAGGCATCTGGAGTGCCAGTAAAAGGTGGAATCCCAGGAGGAGTCCCTCCCCTGGGACCCCCACCAAAAGCTGTGACCTCCACGATTTCCCATCCGGGAACTGGAGAACTTTATGTCACGAGCACTGGTCCGGCAGGAGTTACTCCGCCATCAGCGAACACCAACAACGAGTTGGAGATGGCGCCTGGCATGCCTCTACTGAGCGTATCATTGCCCCATCGCCTCTTTTTCAACATAGAGCTTGTGGTTCGCACTGAGCCTTCACAGCGAGTCTAGAGTACTCCTTCGAGACAGCAACTGAGTGCAAAATGATCTGCTGCCAATCAGCCAGTGATACATCGCAACCAAGCCGGTTAGCTTTCAAGCTAGTGCCGAAATCATAACTCGCATAAGACTCTGAAGACAAATTCGCTTCCCACTTCACAGCTTGCAGCCCTGAGGGGCGGAGCGTGTGCAAGTGCAGCGCTGAGGCACGGCTTGCCGTGAAGAGTGACCGCGCAAATAGTAAGCAGGGCACTAGGTCGATCCCTCGCAAAGCGTGGACGATAAGTGTCACCACAGACAGTCCTCCCCCGCTGCGTGTGAATGAAATGTCGTTGCTGCTTGTTGCTTGTGGTTGTGGTTGTGACTGTTGCTGTTGCTGTTGTTGCTGTTGTTGCTGATGTTGCTGCTGCTAGCTTTAGCATACAGCTCCATACACCAACTTCATGTTGATTGGGCTTTGCGCTCGGCTGGGCCTAGGCAACTACCAGGCCAAGCTGCGCAGATGGTGGAACCCACGGCAGGCCAAAACCCATTCGTCGATCGCAACGGAGCTTACTTCGACTTCTGACGGTTGCTCCGACGCTTGCATCATCTTGCCTTTGACCCTGGCGGCCTGTAGCTGCGACTTGCGCCGCAGCTGTTTCAGCATCATGGCGCCGCCCCCGCCGGCAAAGCCCAATGCAAACAGGGAAAGCCCATTCACATGGTTTCCATGCCTTGTGCTGCCCGTTTCTGTGGTAACTTGAGCGCACAGTAGCATCGAGAATCAGGGCCATCTAATCTTTGGAGCAGAACCCTTGCATGCTGTCATCGGGCTCCGGTCCTTGTGCAGGTTCTCGCTTCAAAATTCTGCAGACTATTAGCTAGCGAAGGATCGAACCAGAGCTGTTGTTTGGGAAGCCGAGGTTGCGGTTCAGATTGCCACCGCCCGTTTCTCCATCCTCATCTTGGTATCTCAGCTGAGAGCCTACAGTTGATTGCGGGACTGATATGGCATCCACGAAGATTATTCGCGCCGTAGGCTTTGCAAGCACCTGGCCGAACTCATGCTTCCACGCCGAGATAGCCCAAAAAGGAAAATAATGAATTGGCGCCTGCTGGTCGCGGCCACCAGGGAAATGCTGAAGGTTTCGGTTCCAGACGAACATTGTCTCTGATGTCTGATGTCGGAGAGTTTCGGAACTTTGAAGGAATGCTTCGAAACGAATGCCAAGTTCGCATCCCAGGGCTTGGCGGTAGCATTGGCTTTGGCTCTTGCTGTGGCGGTGCCCAAGGCACATGACCGGCTCTGTGATCCTGGGATGTTGTAGGCGGTGGGTTAACAGAATTCCTTGCTCCTGTTGCGAAACTTCTGTCCATACACGTCTGTGTGAGCGGCAACAAGAGTGCCTGTTCATAAGGAGCCGTCTCACGCCTGCCTCAGGGCCTGCTGAATGTCATCACGTCCTTGCTGGCCACAGTGCTGCTACTGAGCGCTTCCTATGTTGATGTGCCGGAGCGTGCTTTGTGTGTCATGGAGTCCAGTCGTTATATGGACCATATGGAATGTCAGTCCAATGCGCTGTTGGGCGGTACACGTGTCGGAGGAAGATGGAGGAAGGTGACCAGCAAGTGCCAAGGTCAAGCGTTAGCGAAGCTTCCGTGAGAGCAGTAATTAGACTTGTCAATTGGTCTAGGGCAGAGTGACCTCCCTCCCTGCCTGCCTCCCTCCCTCCCTGTATATATATATATATATATATATATATACACATAATTATCTCGTCTCTCTCTCTCTCTCTTTCTCTCTCTCTCTCTCTCTCTCTCTCTCTCTCTCTCTCTCTCTCTCTCTCTCTCTCTCTCTCTCTCTCTCTCTCTCTCTCTCTCTCTCTCTCTCTCTCTCTCTCTCTCTCTCTCTCTCTCTCTCTCTCTCTCTCTCTCTCTCTCTCCCTCCCTCCAAGCACGGCTTTGCTTCCCGGGCGCAGGACGAGGGTGGACCACTGCAGTGGGAGACTAAGTGGAAGCCTGCCGAGCGAGGCCCCCACAAAGACGTGGCAGAGCCGGCCGAGGCCGAAACCTCTTAGAACATTTAATCAATCTAACCGAAGCTGGTCATGACTCTTCATCGTGTAAGGCTGCTTTGACAGACTTGCGATTCAGCAGGCAAGCCGAGCATGGATTGGCGAAACGCTCTCGGTCGTCCTGCCCTGCGCATATGCGCCCAGATCGCAAACCAGCCAGGGTGCTTTATCTTCACGTTCAATGTTCTTCCCAAGCTCGTAGTGCAGGGGACCTTAAGCGTCGGTGGGATAATGAAGTGGCAAGAAGGGATCGGTCTTGCTGCAGTGACGGAAGGATAAGCCTGATTGTTCTGTTGATGGAGGCTCTGGTTTTTGTGCTTAGAAACCGGTGCTGCGAGGATGCAGGCTGGGATCGTTCTTGACCTTCCACTCTAGAGTCTAGGCTCCGTCGAGTACCGTTAACCTGCATCCTGCATCCGCTGAGACCGAGGAGGGGGCTTATGCTTCAAGGACCGTGGAATCTGTACCTCAGCTAGCAGTGTGAGAAGGTGGCTGTTCACTGGTTTGCATTCTGTGCTCCTGTTTGAGCTTTTTTCGGAGATCTGAGAGGTGCTTAGTGCTGCTAGTGATGTCTGAAGAATCGGAAGCCTTGCACCGGCCATGCCACGCACTCGGCTGAGATCTGGTCGCACACGGCCAAGAACCGTTTGCGGGAGATCATTGTTGTGGACGCTACTTGGCCGCTGTCGATACATGTCGATACCACCACCACTTGGATCGGTTTAGGTGAGCAGAGCCCAGATTGAGCTTTCCCATGTAAATTTTGCAAACACCGTGGACAGAGGATGGTAGCATCCCCAAGCTGGAACTGACGCTGCCATCGCCTCTCCGAGTGTCCCCGGAGGCACGTGACATAGTCTCAGAACCCGCAAGGTTAGCTCTTTGGGCAGATCCTTTCCTTCGCTTGGTAAGCAGCTTCGATAGCACAACGGCGAGAATGCAATTCAATTTTTGCGCCATTTCTAAAACTGCGAGGGTGCCGAATAGGTTGAGGCATTGTGGAGGGAACTCTGAGGTCTCTAACACTGTCCGCGAAGTCCCAAACAACATCGGCAATCTACCTGTCCTGACCCTTTCTGATCTCGGCCAGCCCAAGCCCCGACCACAAGCGGCAGCGAAGGAGCGGAGCCTTTTTCCTCTACAGCTGTTTGCAAACTGTTTGTACTTGGCAGACCCCGGGTCTCCGCGGCCAGAGCTCGCCCACTCCGACGATTCGGCTGCTGAGGCCTTGTCGCAGAGTGTTTGGAAGCTTCGGATTCCCCGGACAATGTCTTCGACCCGAACCATGTTCCCGGGGTCTGACTTCACACGGCCCTCTTCGGTGGTCCCAGCACTGTCGTCAGCTGTCAGGCACGAGAAGACCTTGGGCCTCATCGCTGCCAAAAAAACTGGTGGCGATGCCGCGCTCGGTGATGCCACTGGTCTTGCCACGGAAAGTGCAAGGGAATGGACGGCACTATGTGGAGTATATGATGTACATGTGCTAGATTGAAATTCCAGCTGAGTGTAGCCAGCATTTGCAGACGTCACTTGGAGTGTCGTTTGCAGTGGGTGCTTTGTGGTAACTTCTTCGGTTGCTCTTTCATCAACTGCTATTCGTGACACGAAAGTCGAGGTCATTGTCTTCTTCGATTGCCATGTGAAGCCCAGAGATGGTTGGGAGGCCAGCAGTCCGGACGAAAAGCCAGTCCTCATTTGTTCGCAGCAGCCGCAGTGGTAGTGGTAGTGGTGCTGGTGCTGGTGCTGCAAAGAGGTGGTAGATGGCAGTGGCTGGAAGTAGATGGCAGTGGATGGTAGTAGATGGTGGTTCCAGTTGCGAGTGATGGCCGTGGTACTATGTGGTAGTCGTACAAGCACTAGTATTAGTAGCCGTAGTGGTGGTAGTCGTCGTCGTAGTCGTAGTCGTAGTGGTGGTCGTAGTGGTAGTGGTAGTGATAGTGGTAGCGTTAGCAGCAGTAGCAGGAGCAGTAGCAGTAGCATTGCTACTACCACTACCACTACCACTACTACTACTGAAACCGCTGCTGCTGCTCCTGGTACTAGTACTAGCACTACTACTACCACTACTACTACTACTACTACTACCACTACCACTACCACTACCACTACCACTACTACTGCTACTACTGCTACTACTACTACTACTACCACTACTACTACTACTACTACTACTACTACTACTACTACTGCTACTACTAGGTGTGTGACAAAAACTACTACTACTACTACTCCTCCTCCTCCTCCTCCTCCTACTACTACTACTACTACTACTACTACTACCACAACAACAACTACTACTACGAGGACTACAACTAGTAGAAATAGTAGTAGTAGTAGTAGTAGTAGTAGTAGTAGTAGTAGTAGTAGTAGTAGTAGTAGTAGTAGTAGTAGTAGTAGTAGTAGTAGTAGGTGGTGACGGCTGCGATGGGAGGCCTCCATAAGTTCGTACCAAGAAAAACGATCCACAAGGCCCCCGCAGAGGCTTATGCTAAGGAGCGCTTGGCAGTTTGCATGTTAATATGCTTTCATGCCAGGTCTTGAACTCAGGTCGGAAATGTTTGTTGGAAGCTGCAGGAAGGGATATGTGTGATCTCGGATCCTTGCAGGAATGGGGCAGATGGGATCCTGAAGTCAAGTTGGCAAAACCAGGGACTTGTAAGAAATTATATCTCGGAACCTTTGAAATATTAGACCTGACTTCCTCGATGCCGCGCGTGCGAACTCAGAGGCAGAAAAGCAACTGGCATAAACTTATATGATTGAATATAGAGCGGCTATGGCTTGCAAGGTGCACGACTTGGAATCGACCCCCCCCCCCAAATCTCCCGTGTTTACAAGAAAGTCCAGCATCGTGTTGAGGACGTATTGCAGCTCAAATGGAAAACAGAGGTGCAGCAGCAGCAGGAAGCTTCAGAGCATACTTGCCTTGGAAATGAGTTCATGAGTCTGGTAGCGTGGCTGAATCCCAGCGAATTGGTTTCAAACTTGCACCCTGCTTCTTGCTATTGATTGTGTGACGGCAGCGGCGGCGGCGGCGGCGGCGGCGGTGGTGGTGTCGTTGTGCTGCTGAGATGTTTAGATTCTGATGTGGTTGCAGGATTGCTTTCGCAGCAGTGCCGGTGGTGGTGGTGGTGGTGGTGGGAGTCGGTGGGTGGCAACCATAGTCGCGGTACAGGTAGTGGTGGCGTGCTGTGGCGGTGGAGGTGGTGGTGCTGGTGACATAGTTGTGGGGCGACTATGGGAGTGGCTGTCGATATTGCACTTGTTGCTGTGGTTGCTGCTGTCGTGGTTGTTCACTAATTACTGCGTGGCTATTCGGGACAGAGGTAGCGAGTCCGGGAATGTAAGCAACAGGTTTATCTAAGTAGGAGCACACATCCAGAAGCTCCAGTTCTTCGGGTGCTTGCGTAAATCGATGCCGCGGTAGACCAGGTCAAGCCTTCCCCCTCTGCTTGCAGGAGGCATTTTTGAAGCAGATGCACCGGGCAGGGGATCATCGAACACTGGTAGTGCCCACGATCACGGCTCTTGACCCGGACACGTGGGAAGAAAATGCAGCTTCGTCCAGCCAAGCATGCTACATGACCTGGAATGCCGACTTTACTTGGCTGCAAAGCCCTGGACGGGATGTGCCTGTGATGAGTGGAGGACTGCTGGCAATCAGCAAGTTATGGTGGGAAGAAACTGGTGGATATGATGATCACATGATTGCATGGGGAGGCGAGAACATAGACCAGTCACTCCGCAGCTGGCTTTGTGGCGGTCGCATTGAGGTGGCAGACGGGGCTTTCGTGGCGCACATGTGGCGTGACCCGAACAACCCCAAGACGCAGCTCAAGTACACCATGCGCACAGAAGATGTCATGCGAAATAAAGCTCGAGCAGTTTCCGGCTGGCTTGGACCATACGCAAACAAGACCTTTACGTTTCCAGAGTATAATGCTTTTTTCAACGGGGAAAACAGCATTGGCGACTTAAATAATTTCGAGCAGCTGCGGCAGAAGTTGAAGTGTGCCCCATTCTCTGCGTACTTGCATCGCTTCTCTTACATCTACGTGGATGGTGGATTGATCCCCCAAAGAGTCTTCCAGATCCAAGAGGTATCCTCTGGCCTGTGCTTGGAGAGGGAGGCGAAGGAAGGCCGAAGTCATGGAATCGTTCTGAGCCCGTGTGTGGGTGTGGATGGGATCCATGGCAGAAGACGTAGCAAGCGTTCTCGAGGTCGGCCATGCGCAGACTCATTCTCATGTGCTTGTGGCAGTAAGAAGATGCCACGGATGCGGGAAGTGTAGATCGTCTAGTAGGCAGTTTTGCAAGCCTTGACAAAGCTGCTCTGCTCACATATTAGGAACCAGGGTGTGCTGGATACCCAGCTCTGGCATCCGGGCAATCGGGACCGCAAGAAAGAAGGAGGCCCTTGCTGTGGCGGCCTGCTGAACTGGAATTTCCTGCCACTTGTTCCAGAGACTAGGGTCGAGGACGATCGGGTGCAACTTCAAAACAGCCTTCAGGAATACTGTGAAACTGTTGTGTTGCCTGCCCTTGCCCAAGGCAATGTTTGGCTTCGCATGGTTTTCACAGCGAGCTTTTCACGGAAGAGTGTGTCATCTCTGGTCACAGTCTCTTGGCGGTCATTTTATCTGACAGACTTTCTGTATGAGCTGTGGCCATATGCCGTCGTACCAACCTCTAGGTTCCAGACATCTGATCCAGCCTCCCAGTGTCACGCTTGGTGCCTGAGGTGTGCACCAGGAGTTCCATGTACCCGAGGATCGGCAGTCCGTGAATTCTTTGCCTGCGCTCATAGATCAGGGCTGTTTGCGCGTGTCCTTCGTCGCCCCATAGAGCCCATTCATCTGTTGAGGAGTACTGTAGAAAGGAGCAGCAGCAAAGGCAGCAGGGGTGGTGAAGGTGTGCGCGTTTGGAACTTGCTGTGTGGTGAAAGTCGCGCAACTCCACATGCTCAGTTGTTATCACGGGCTGCAGCGTTTCTTGGCATCAGTGTGTCGCGGCTCTGGCCTTCTAGTGGGTCTAGTAATCTAGTATGATCTAGTAGTTCACGCCGTTGCTGTTGCGATGCAAACTTGCGAAGTGACGCAACGGCATGGAGTGGTTTAGCAGCGGCCGACAATTCCAGACTGTACGGGGCTGAGGGGCAATGGTATTGTGGATGCTGCTGAGTGTGTTAAACATGGGCCTTACGAAACGGGGGTGGGACCTGAATCTATGTGCAGATCGAGAAGCGTCCGGAGATCAATAAGCATTTCCTGGCATCTGTTGATATGTGCTGAAGCCCTGAGGATGGCGAAGGGCCACTGACTTGGCGCGAAGAGATGTGCGCCCTGCCAGAGGTCAAGAGCCAGGCAAGGCTTTGCTGCAATGGTTTTTGTCCCAGGCAGTTGAAGAACTTGGAGGAATTTGCTGCCTGCTGCCAGGAACAGACACCAGCAGAGCTGGCACTTCAATCGTGTGCTGTGCGGGTGCAACAGCGAGCGACCGGCGGCTTGGATGAAATTGAAGTGCACTAGCAGGACCCGTGGGGTCAGCTGGAATGAGCTGTTGCGTGCCTGTGATGGCCAAGGATTCACTTTACAGGTTGAGCGCGAAGGTGGACATGCGTGCGTTACGGCGAAGGTAGCTACAAGCAGCACTGAGTGGCGCATGGAGCTGGCTCCCTGCCGTGACCCCTCCTCAGACTTAGAAGCCGAACGATGCTTTCGGTATTTTGCCTGGCACATCTGACGCTGAACCACTCCCAGCCTGCTGTTGGCCAAAGGTTTCAAGCTTGTTTCCGCAGGCTACGTTAAAGCACGAGGAGCACTACCGCTCCTAAACTTGCAACTCTGCACCTCTTTTGGGTGCGGACGATGGGAAACCGGCGATTGCTAAGCTTGCGGCCTATACCAGGTCACTGTATCTACCACGTCCTCAGTTTCGAAAACTAGTCAGATGCCTGCCCGGACTCGCGCATGACTCGAAGCCGTCCTCGTGCGCACTATGCTTCTCGGCCATTTCGGCGGCAATTAGGGATGGCTTCCAATGCACCTCGCTTGGTCAAGTCGATCGCGCAAAACCAGCCACATAACACAGACACTGCTTGACGTGAGTGGTTTAAAGTCTGCCATTCCTCTGTTTGTCGGGATCTCATGGCTTGGCTTAAGTGGCCACGGCACGTGTTTGTATGTGGCTTAGCTCCCCCACCTCAAGTCGGAGACCTGATCCCAGAATGCCGATGTTGACGGTTCACGTGACGACTTTGTAAATAGTCATACAAAAAATATATAGGTATTTAATATATGATACACATACATGCTTGTGCCTGGTGATGTGTGGTTTCCTTAGTTACATGGCATCCCGCACACAGCCGTGCACGACCAGCCTCAGCATGTGTGTGTGTGTGTGTGTATGTGTATGCCCACTTAAAGACACCACAGTCGGTGCCAGTGAGAGGACGACGACAACTTGCAGATCTTCGTGGCAGAGGATCTTCCAGATGAGTCAGTGAGAGTCAAACTGCTCAACACGGATTTGTGCTTGGATTCGTCAGCCGGCAATCAGCTGGTGCCATATCCGTGTTATGCAGACAGCCAGGAGAACCCAAACCAAGCCTGGAAAATTCAAAGGTCGCGCTTGGTTTGGGAAGACGCCATCCAAAGCGTTTGCGTCGATGCGCCAGTCCCTCCTGGTAACTTGAGACTTCGCAAGCTGCCGCCACAGCCCATTTGGACACTCGCTCCGTGTGTTGACAAAGTCGGTCAACGGCTACAGAAAGAGGACATGAAACCTGATGGGACATTCCTGCTCAAAGATGCGGACGCTGGAAGGTGCCTCGCTGCTCGCAAAGTGCTGTCTTTAGAGACTCCGCTGATACTGGCACCTTGCAATGATCGGCAGCGCTTTCGTGAGCTGAAGGAGCGAAATCAAGTCCAGCATGTCTCCACAGGCTACTGTGTAGATGCTGGCAATGATGCACCTATTCTGTACCCATGCCATGAGCCGAAGGCGCTTCGGAAACAGCGATTCGAAGTGAAAGACACGCCAGGTTGGCTTCAGCTGATGAGAGGTTGGGAGGATAATGGCCGGAAGCGCTTCTTTGAACGGTGCTTCGACCGCCAGCCACAGCCACCGACGAGAGTCGTGCTGCGCAAATGCGAGGAGGTTGAAGGCAAGGGCGTGAAATGGCGACGCATCAACTTCCAAGAGCTCTGGCCGAGACATTTAGAGTTTAGAGACAGAGAGGCTCTGAATTTGGAATTCCTGTACTGAAGTTTGCTTTCTTACGGTCGTAGTTTGTTTGACAGTAGGTCGTCGACCCATGTTGCTTTTATCACAGGTTGTATCACGACTCGATGCGATTCGACTTGCACGGAAGCGTAAACAAAGGACACGCCTGAGTGGCAGCTTTGGCGGAATGCTCCAGTTCCAGTGCAGCCACTTGGTGGTGATCAGCCACCGAAACCTTGAGAAGTGCCCAAGCTCAGTCGTTAGCATGGGGCTAAAGCAGCAACATTCATGGCTCTTCTGAATCTTCTGCTTGGTGTGGTAGGGCAGTCCTAAACCCGTTTGCTACGAGGTGCTGCCAAAAGCACACTAGGCCGACCACGTCCACATTGCTCTGCTTGTAAAGGAGGCATCGCGAAAGAGGCGGCTTGGAACCATGTTGTTTAGATGTTACAAGACAATGGAACGCCAACATGCAGCCTTGCTGGTGGGAGCGCAACCGAGGTCATTCGAGGTCATGCGGAACGTGTATGGGTAGAGAGCGTCGCAAAGACGCGGTCGTGGCTGGCATCGCACATGCAAGCTGAGCACTGGCTGACGCAGCTCGCGCGGCTCGGCGAGTCGACGGGCCGGATGGATCCACCGACACCGTCCAATCATGAGCTTGAAGGGCATGGCAAAGGGGCTTTCGAGAAGCAGCTCTTCTGCCATAGGAGCCAAACAATTGCGTATCAGAGCGTAGTCAAAGAGACCTGTCCGTGGCACTTGTCTCCTTAGATGGCCAAGTGACCAAGCGGTCGCTGCAGTGCAGGCAAATGATGTGAAGCTCAACATGTCTGCTGACGTGTGGGTCGCTTAGACGGCCACGGCATGTTCAAGACTGAAGAAATCGGACAGCAGCGTGCCCTTGTAGCTTCTGCATTGTGGTATCTTTGAAGAGGGCCTGGTACTAGACCAAAGGAACGAAGCAGTGTTTATGTTCGCATCTTGATGACGAGAGACTTCTGCGAGGCTCCACGGCGATGTCTGGACCCCAGAGGCCTATGCTGCAGGCCAGGTGCCCGGATTCTTCAGGTCGTATCTGTGTCGTTATCGACGGTGCCCAGCTTGTCGGCTGATAGGACTTGGCCACTTGTGACTTTGGCAACGACGGGTGACAATTGCAGGAGCAGTCCTAGGGAGTCGTTCTGCGTAGCCTGGAGGATTCATCGGCAGTGACATGGCTCGGGCCAGCTTCCGACGGTTGCTGCGAAGTTCCGGTGTGACATCGAGCTTTGGCCTGGCAAGGCTTTGGCAGCTGGAGGTGAAATGTCGTTTGCCCTTTTGAGCCTTCCAGACGAAGCGATTGCAGCGAAGCCACCCGTCACACACCTAGTGCCTCAAATCCATGCAATCGTTCGACGAAGGATGACAAATGGCTTCGTGTTCGTGAAAGCGCTTAGAGAACTGGGCTCTGACTTGAGGCAGGTGCCTGAGATTCACCAGTGCTGCAGTGTTGTTTCGCTTGTGAAACCGACTTGCTGTTGTTCCAGTCGCCGCAGGGCTGTCTTTCAGTACCGGATGCCGTGCCGGAGGTGTCATGGTGCAGTGCGCGGCGTACCGGGTCTGTGGCATGTGCCGGATCTCAGCTTCAAGTGCAGAATCGCCGACATGCAAACGAACGGCAGATTCTTGAACGCCGTGCTGACAATAAACAGCTTCACGCTGCATCTATCGGCATCTTGTTGGACAGGATGCTACTGCAACGTGAGCAGTAAAGATAATCATGGTATTGCTCATAGTCTTTTCGACGCAGCCGAAACATAAGGCGTTGGTCGACGAAGCACACAGTCACGCGGACGAATTATGGAGAAACACATGGTGAGGGTTATTGTGAGATTGAAGTGTCGGGAAAGTCTGGGGCGAATGAAGACGAGCAGTTACCTGAGTATTAAGATGGGTCCGCCGAGGATATTGAAGGTTTGCTAGGTGCAGATGACAGGTTCTGGTGCAGTCTTTCCATAAAGTCTTGGCCCCCGCCTGTCATGTGGTCATTTCATTTTGACCGGTTCATTCTCATAAGGCGGGCTGCAGCGTGGCCGTGCAACAAAATGATCAGGGGCATCTCTCCTTCATGGAAGAAGCCATTAACCAACCCGGTTGGCCTTCTGTTCACTTGAACTTTCAGTTCACAGAGTTCGACAGTCCGGCGAAAGTTGCAAAGTTAAGAGAAGGTGGACACCAACGGGCAGCAGATCTGGTGTCGCATGTGCTGACGGAATCTGGCCGAGTTTGCCAGGCTCCGAGCAGATGAAAAGAAAGACATAGAGAGCAGTCCTTTCCAATAGCTCACTTCCGGTGCATGCTGGTACATGACCCGGTGCCCGTCCTAAGCTAGTTTGGCATAAGCACTGTGCTGCGCCGTAGGTATTGCATGTGTCCACACCTTGGAGATGTTTGCAAGTTGCTTGTGGTGACTAACACCTTCGCCCGACCTGACTCGCCCCAAGTGCATTCGGTTACCGAAGTGCATTCGGTTACTTTGGTTCAGTCTCTTTTGCTGCTGGATCTTCTGGCATGAGCCCTCGGAGGAGCCGCCGAAGTGTGCTTGCCTCAGTTGGCCGTTCTGAGCGCACAGATTCTTGCGCTTCTGATGTGTGCAGCTACCATAATAGCTTGTTGCTTTCATGGCAACGGGCACCTCACCCACTTCGAACAAATCTTGCAGAAGTACGGGATGCGAGTCCCGCCTTGTTTTGCTTCGAGCCAAGGCCCTTGCCACCGCTGTGAGTGCTGGCCAACGCATGCGTCGACACGACGACAAGTGCAACACAAGGGGCGAATTCAGGAAAGAGGCCAACGCTTTGTGCAGCAGAAGACCTATAGTGGCGGCTCAGTTTCTCAAAAGGGAATCTGCCTGTGTTTGGTATGCCTTCAGTGTCCATGTTGGCCTCTGCCAAGGTGCGCTGCATGTCTCTGAGAACGGCAATCAGAGGGCCCCGGTCCCAGCAAAGCCTTTGTTGCAAAGTACAGCTTGAGGAGGAAGCTTCGTGGAAGCTTTTTCCTCCATCAGCTTCAAAATCAGCGCTGAATTTCTGCAGCCTGAGATTCCTGTCGAGGCACAGTCCTTTGACCTCGCCACTTGTTGCACTACGGCAACACAGGCCGCAAGCAAGATCCATCCGGATCCGCTTCGATTCACTTGTCCGTGAGCGTCCGGTCGCCTCCAGGCTGTTGGAGCCATCGTTCTCGGCTGCGAGCCGCAGGTCGTCTGGGCTCGGGCGAAATGCAAGTCTCATGCTGCTGTAGCTCGCTAGCTAGAGTCTAGAGCATTCTGGAGTCGCAGTGGGGTTATGCCAGTCTCATGAGGACCTCGCTTGCTTTCTCGGCAGTGGACGCCTTAAGCTGCTTCTCCCAGTTAGTGTTGGATGGCATGAGGAAGTGGTGCTAGTATGTGCGAGTTTGAAGCAGATTTTTCTGATCTACAATGCTGGAGCCAGAGAACTGGACTGCCGCATGTCGCTTCAGAAAGCGCCGTGCTGCATGAGGCTATGCTGTGAATCGTCTCAGGGCCTCGCACTCGGCACTTGTGTTTCGAAAGCTTGCTGCACGTCCACGGCGTTGACTGCTGTAAGTAAGATTTGCACCAACTCAATTTTTCAAGCCCTAGGCGTCAGGCATTCCCCCAGACCGAGGGCTGCACAGGACAAGCCCTCATCCACCGTGCCGACAGTTCTGCAGGCGCCCACGCGCATCGATGCTATGAGCCTCCGCCCCAGGAAGTGGTTTCAGGCCTGGTTCGAGTGAGTTTCCATTCCGGTATGCAGACAGGGCTCACGGTGACATGGACTTTGTTCAACTTATTTCCGCTTGTGGTTGGTGCCTCGTCTTTCGCATTCACACACTTGAAACTTCAGTGCTGATACACTCTGCCAGGTTGAGGGATACAAAGTCTTGTCTGCGTGCTGTCGTGAAAGGTACCTCTAGGGATCACCTGGACGGACCTGCACTGGACATTCGAGTTGTTGCGAGTGCCGAGATGACGAGCTCTTCATTGCAGACACGGACAATCATCGGGTGCTGCGGTCTTGGCCTCAACACTGCACTAACCGTCATGGCAGCCGCTCGCAACGACAGCATAGGTTGACAAGGGAGATCAAACAAGAGAGACGAGTTCTTCACGATCGGCGAGCCATCAACACCAAAGCAATGCCATCACAAATCCCGACCGTTTTTCGTTTGGTTATTGTTTTGAGAAGATCTGCCAGCCTCGGGCCCATCTAAAAAACAGGTGACAAGATTCCCAAGCAAGTGTGTGTGTGTGTGTGTGCTTCCGAGGGTCAGCAATTCCTCAGTCGAGGTGCCGCACTGAGACCTTTGTCATTTGTGGTGTGTTTTGCTGCTCGTACTTGCGATGCCCTTCTGTTTCGCCCCGCCCTGTCGCGATGCCAAGCACAGTCTAGCAACAGCAGGCTGCGCCTTCCGTCTCGTGGTGTTCCCCTCCCTTGGTCCTTTCAATGTTCTTTCATTCGTTTGCGGATGGCTCGTTTATGCAACAACTGTGACTGTATTCTTCGTCCCGATCCTGTTGGTTCTTTCACGCTCCTGCCGACAGCGGGTTCACAGACGAGTGGCACCCTCAAGCAATTTGTTTCTTGCTTCGAGCGTACAACCTCCGGAGCCAGGAGATCCAGGGTCCCTCACCATCTTCAGCAAGACCAACCCCTTATTACCGGCACACCTCATGCTACATACAACTTTCCGTGGCGGTTTGCCCGGATCGTGTTGTGGAACACGTCGCACTGCCAGGTAGTTTCCGGTACTACCGGCATCGTGCGCGGGCTTAGCCTTGTTTGACTCGCTTGGCATTGCTTGATCAGTGTAGGTGATGCCACCATTTGCTGGTGGAACTGCGAGAACGGCAGCCCGCGGCTGTTACAAAGGGAGGGTATGCTTGCTAAAGCCGCAGAGCTGCTGACAACGAATCGACAGCCTTCGCCTGTTTTGCTCGACCTGCCTCGAGGCTGGCTGTCGGCCTGAGCAACTCCGATCGCCGCAAGGTGTTGCTACAGACAGCAGGAAGCTCAGAAGCCTCGAAGACAAGACGTCATGATTGCTGCGGCATCAGAGGAGAGAGAGAGGTTTACATTGCCGAGCCTGGGTTGCTTTTCGTGAGAGCCACAGAGCGAGTCGAGAGCAGCCATGCCATGCCCTTCTTCGTATCCTGTGCAGTCTCAGAGCATTTGTCCCCGTGACAGCCCCGCAGTCGAAGTAGCCGCCCCTCCCCTCCGGTGAGGGTCCGTTTGAAACGTGGTTCTTGGCGAAACGATACTCGACAGAGTATTGTTCAAACAACCTGAAGCAACCTTGATAATTAGACATGATTTGACACTGGCGGCATTTGTGCTACCTGGACAGCCTGCCGAAAGCACCGACGCGTTGCAACCGCCTGTCAGTCTATTGAATGTATAATGTAACCCATCACGCATCTTCTGCCCTCACACCCTGTCATCAAGTTTGAACATGCGTCAGGAACCAGCACTGCAAGCATTACAGTCATACCTCGTCAAAAGCTCTAGGCAAGGCATCCTTTTCAAGAAGCGTCCTGAGTATGACCTTGTAACTTCTAGGCCCTAGTTTCAATCGCAAGCGTCTCGTCTGTACCGCAGGCAGCGGGTTCTTGTATGTGGCTGACACGGGTGGGAATCCAAGATTCTGCAGCTTTTTGCTTCGCTGTAGTCTAGAGGGCGGCACACAAGTGGTTCGTGTTGGGGTTCTTTCAGCTACAGTACCTTGATCGAGCAGAACTCAGACATGCGTCGAAGCACTTACCATCGCCGCCATTTGGCTCGAAGCTACGGCATCTTTGCACCGAGTTTAGAGTCCGTGCCACGGGGTGGCCGGTCGAGATGTGCAGCACCTCGGGAATACTTGGTGGTTGTTCTTCGCATCCTTTCGCGTACGGCAAGTGCAGACGAAACACAAGTCAACTATGTACATCATCCCCAGTCAGACAAAGATGCCGTCACAAGAGAAAGGTTTACACAGCCATCGAAAGAGGGAGTAAGCTCGGGTCAAACTATTTGCCTTCAATCTCCCCACATTTTGCCAGACAGCACAACTGCAAAGCATCTAAGGATCAGGACAAATGGAGGCACTTGCGCGAATGACGCTGCTGATGTTGCTGAGGCTGTTTGTCCATGCGACCGTGCAAGTGAGCCGAAGACCCTGAGAGTGGCTTCCAAAATTCCGAGTGGCCAAGGCTACCGATCACCGTGGCGCAGTCCTTGGGATGCTTTCACTATGGCTACGCATGGACGACCCATGTATTAAGCAGAGCCTTCATGCATGCTGTGGGCTTTTGACTGCACCGTGTGGTTTGGCTGAGCTGCCGAGGAATCCCATGACAAACGTGACTGGCAACCCCTTCACCAAGATCTCTGCTCCGGAATGCAGCTCGCCAAAGCAGAAGGATATTGTTCGATGTAGCTCTTCCAGATGTCCGGATGCAACCCGGGTCGTTAGGGGCTGAGTTGGGCAGGGCGGAGGTACCGGGGACCAGCGCGGATCTTTTCGGCACTGCCAATTTCTGTTTAGCCAAAGTGTGCGCTGAAGGCCATGTCCTTTTACTCAGGCCAGCTCCAGTGCCGGAATACCATTGGGTGCACGGGTTTCGGCTACTATCCCATCACTGGCTCCTGTGACTCAGCAGAGATTGTGCAAAGCGGATGTTTTGACGACAGGGTGGCGCGTCTGAGACAAGATGAGGCTTTAAGAATCGCTAAATGTATCTCTAGGTGAACCGGAGGAAGCTGTTGTGATGCTCCTGGGCTTCGGTCACAACTTTCGTGTGACCGTTTCGGGCAGCCGAGAAATCACACTTCGATTTTTTTGCTCTCGGCAGTGCGGCCACGTGCGGCCGAGGCTATCTTGGGGGGTCCGGCGGCGCCACCTGGACGGAAACAAACAGACTTTTGCTCATGCAACAGCACATAGTCGATGGTCAATCATCAGGACAGTAAGATGACGATGTCGGTCTAGTTATGAGTGATTGTTGGAAAACGACGTGGGCAAGTCCGTTCAAGACTTGGTAATGCTTCTCTAATCGTCGTGGCATCCCCTGCGGTGCGGGAACATCTTGCCTGAAACTGATCTGCACGTTCTTTGATCTGTCTTGAGGCTCTCTATGAGGCGAAGGGCGCCATTGCTGGACCGCGCGAGCTTCTAAGCTGCAACGGGTGCTGGGGGCAGGAGTGCAAACAACATCTTGGGTCCAGGGGTCAGCAGATTCAGTTGATTTGACATCGTTGCAGCGAGATAGTTCAACGGAGTGAATGATGTGGGGCATCCGTGAGCCTACAAGAATGGGTAGCCATACACGGTGCTCCTCAACATGAACTTCAGAAGTGGCCACGCGTGCTATCGCGAGCCGATGCAAAGATCAGGTGCGTTTCGCCGGATCCGGCTTGTGTGTCGCTGCCGGACGCCAGCTTTCCAGGCAACTCAGCTTGTCCGTTGCCTTGCAACAACACCTTAATTCGGAAGTTTCGGGTCTGCAATGGGCGGAAGCATCCAGAAATCCAGAAGCTATTTTGTCCAGGTTCCACCCCTGAGAAGAGCATGAAAGCGTGGCCGGGGGGCGTTCAGCCGACCTCCTTGCAGTGCTGGCCACGAAGATCAGATGGTCAAGTCACCCGATGCCGCAACTTGAAAGCAAATATCGAAGTTCGTGGGCTGGCAAGCAGGCATAGTGTAGACACCGCGACGGTTCACAGAACGCGCTTTGCCGGGTGTGGGAGGCAGCTGTGTGCTCGAGGCACATAGATATGACATATCACCATAAGTTTACTGCAGGCTGCATAGCTCACCACCGATGATTGCATGTGCTCTGCAATCCATGCATATGTCTTGTGTCCGAGGAAACCAAACAGCCATCGTCCTCGAAGACACCCAGGAAGACGGTTAAATGCAGCCTGCTGGGTCGCCCGTTCATTATTCTAGGCTTTCAGTTGCAGACTTGCAGTGGGCGCAGGGTAAACTTGGAGCCAGGACGGTTGGCCTGGACGATGTGAAGGCATGGTGAAAGTCACAGACTTGAAGGCGCGAGTCTCACGAGCGAGTGGCATGTTCGACCGCATGGTTGATGCCAGGAAATCCGTTGAGAGATTCGTTGAGGCATATTGACAGACCAAATACCAATCAATTAAGGCTGTAGAAGTGAAGTGGCGCCAAAACTGCCGACAAGACTCGATTACTTGTAGCTCCCATTCGCGATATTCGGTTTTGGCATGCAAGGGCGAGGAGACCTGCCAGCTCCGCTGCATGATGTGGCATGCCGGCACTTAGCTAGTCATGGCTGGTCGGCAGGAGTTTCAACACGTTTCCAGGTTTTGATTGGCTTGTTCTAGGTTCGAGGTAATAGATCCAGTGAAGTAAATTGTTATCCGTGAGCTACTAGGTGGTTCTGCCAGTCGAAGCTGGAGAGGAAACCCCCATTGGTCGAACAAATCCGGCGGGCTGAAGTGCTGTTAAATCATGTGCAACAGAGTGCAAGCCCCAGGAGGCATGCAGAATTGCAGTAGCTGCCTGTGCCTTGTGCCAAGGTCTCCTCTTTGCTCGGTGTGGTCCATTGAGACTACTTCAGATCCGAGTGGCTCGCCCATGTGCTGGAATGGCATGCTGGGGACGAATTGCTACAACGGAAACGGCCCGACGCCAGTGCGAGCGCAAAGGCTCCAGCACGGCACGTATCGAGTGCTGATGCAGACGACCGGTGTGCAGGTGCTGGGTCTACACAACAGCTTTGGAGGCACAGTTTACAAGACCTGGGAGGAGGGAGCGCAACATTGCAAGTACGAGTGCAGATCGTTTCTTTTGTGCCAATTCTGGCAATACTCAAAGACTTATGGTTGCTACCTGGAGATTCCGTCTGAAGGTGTCGTGGGTTACCCGTTAACAACATCGGGCCCTTTCCGATCAGTGCGACTGGACAGTGAAGCGGCGGCCGATGTGGTAGCCGGTGAGATGCTCCAGCACAACTGCGTGGGGGACATGTCGCCGCTGCCAACCGCCATGCCAACAGGGAATGAAGTCCAGCTCGTGGTTCCGGGCATGGAGCCCGCAGCCACCCAGGCCTCCACGCAAGGAGGGTGGCCATGGTGGGTAAGTTACTTGATTTTCATTTTTGTGGTGCTCCTACTCTGCGTGGTGATAACAGCTGTTTGGATGGGACTGGAAGACCGCAAGAAACGGCGTGCAAGGGAAAAGAACGTCAGAGGCGCATGGGATCCGGCCGGCGGCCATTCAGCAGAACAGGCTGGCTTCCTGCAGAACATCCACATGCCGCAGTTGCCGCAAACCTGGCACATGCCCAACATGCACCTGCCCTTCCAGGATCCTAATTACCAGTCCGTACCTGGCTATGGAGACCCAGCAGCTCATATGCAAACTCACGGAGGCCGAATTGCCGGTCGCAGATTTTAAAATGAAGTTCTTGCTTACAAGATGAATTTCCGAATGTTTCACCGGAGCGCATGTCGCCCTCTTGCAGGAGAGACTGGGCATTTGCTGCGGCGGTAGATGAACGCAGCACAGCGTGTGCTGATGCTCTCGCCAAGAATATCCGAGTGATGACTGGCTACTACAGGCGTCCACATACCAGACATAGCGCATACATCAGAGATGCAATCGCCGAAGATCAGAAGATCTAGGGTACTCGGGTGATGGTATTCCGAGACAAGCAGATGCCCAGCGGCGGAAAAGGATGCTGTCAGACCCCATCAAGACAGCATCTCAAAATTAATTTGATTAATTTTGCTTCTGGCTGGCAGAACAAAGCCGTTTCGACATGTCAACAGGTTGGATGGTAGGGAGGGGGGCAGAGCGGCGTACAGAGCCGCAGTTATGCTCTCATAGCCAGGCAATCACCGGATCCAGAAGTTTGCGGCGGACATCTCAGAGCCTCCATAAGCTAGCATGCTATCACAGGGCCGCAAAGACGTGGCGTGCAGGGGCCATTGCACGGTGGGGCGGGGGGGGAGGGGGGAACCCGGTACAACTGCACTTTGCACCTCTGGCTTGTCCAGACTCCGTTCGTTGGAGAACATGTCTGCGGTGCAAGCAGCAGATGGACAGGCTGGCAACCTCAACAGCCTGTTCCACTGTCGCGAGATGCCGATGCAGAGCTACGGGAGTACAGATAGGGGAGCCAATCAACCCACACAATTTTCAGTGATGTGGGCTGAGGTGGCTGCGGGCGACCGGATCGGTCTCACCGTCGCTGGCGAGCTGGGAGCTTTCTGCAGTGGACTGTGTAAGGTCTTGTCATGCGAGAAGTTGTACAAGTACCCTCCCCTGCCTCTTGTGTGGGGATGTAGGCACATAATTCGAAGCATGTTAGTGCACCGCCATGTCGTATGGACTGAATGTGTATCATCTCCGGCCGCTTGCAGCTGAAGGGGCTCAAGAACGTAGATGTGCAATTCAGTGTGCCTCTTCCGCAAGCCTTCCACTTACATTTCCCGACCGTCGACTCAGCTCAACCTGGGCCTATTGTTGAAGGTTGGCCAGAAGCCCCATGCCCGCCTTGTGGCTATACGCACCCCGTCTGCGCGGACACTGTGGTGCTAGATACAGCGACCACCAGACCCTTAAGCAACCATACCAGTCGCCGAGTTCTTGGGTGCGGGCGGAGCCCTCCTCAAATAGGCACCGGACTTGTCCGTACCGGCGCCTCATACCTTCCGTGGACGGTCCTGTGGGAATCGTGCCGGACTCAGTTCTTGAGTCCCGCCCTGGCGTAGTAATTTATAGTGTTGGATTTGTTTTTGAAGTGCAGTCCCTGTAGCACATTGCTTTTGGCAAGCGGGCCGGGTGAACTCATGTCGGCTTACTCCAAGTTGCACAAATATGCGTGCACTTGCGGGCCTTCAGAACCCTTGTGTGTGTGTGTGTGTGTAGGCTGTGGCTTCGTTGGCATCCTGAAGACTGAGGTGCCCCAAGATCATGCGAGCTGGCTCTAGCGAGTCTCTAGGCTCGCCGAGAGTTATATAGCGGAGGATGAAGATAACTCTGCGGACACCTGGACACGAAACCAAGCTTTGCCTCAGACTCATTGCACGTCGGGTAATACTTGTTTAGTGGAGGACCTGCTGGGCTGGCGACAGACATCTCTTCCCCGAAGCTGGCGACGGACATCTCTTCCCCGAAGCTTTCTCCAGGCAACGCGGTCAGGGTGACTATGATGGGCAGTTTAGCAGCAAGAGGCTGCACACGAAGCAAGGCCACAGCTTGCAGGCATCGTGAGACGAAGGTTGAACACCAAGTCTCCTAGTGCCATGTGTCGCTTCATGGGGGGGCCACTCCTTCCTGCGTTGATTTTCAGGCTTCGACCTGCGAAAGTCTACCAACCGTTCCTTTGCTTGAAATTAGCCGCAGTCTCTTACAGTGTATAGCAACCTTCTGAACTTGATGGGTCGCCCGCCGTGTCGTAAAGCCGCATCGACGTCCGGAAACCCCACAGCTCCACATGATGGTCTCACGGAGTGATGCAGCGGAATGTCAAGACTGCACTTGCTTGTCTGTCAGGGGCAGAGAGGCGATAGTGCGGAGGGACCGATCGTGGAATGCAGACTTGTCATGTTGCGTCGAGGATCCAGAACAACGACACGACATGAAAGCCACTCTCCATCGTCGTTCCTGCCTCCTCATTTGTCTGCCTCGCTCAGCCGCCAACACTGGCGACAAAGCCGAGAATGCGCGGAAGGTGCTTGAGGCGCGAAAGGGCTTTCCGTCAAGTTGTTGGTTGGCCTCAAAGTAATAGTTAAGCACCTGCCGGTCTATTGCGCTTCGTACTGCATGGTCTAGCCGGTCTAGCTACAATCCCGGAAGGGCTTTGAGTGAATGCATCCGACGGCCTGCAGCAGCCCAGAGGCGAGACGACAGAAGCAGCGGAATGAAGAAACGAAGGTCACATCTGCAGCACCTGTGGCACCGCCCCCTAGCAGTGCCACTGCTGCAAGCGGAGCGGGACGGACATTGGCAACAGTATGTGGTGCTTCTGAGCCGCACAGGCGCAGTGTAAGACGTTTCGCCGTTTGTCTTGTTTCAGAGAGAAGCAAGTTAGCACAAGTTCTGAGCACAGCTTGTTGCAGTAGGGACAAGTGGGAGCCAAAAAGTAGGGACATCTCAGGACCCATGCCAGCACACTAGAATGAACCCAACGGCTCCGAACTTGTTAAAGTTTTCCTGCTGTTTGAGGCCGTCCCGGAACACGGTTCTTCAGAATGCTCTAATGCTCCCCGAGAGTCGTCCGATGGTCCCCATCCGTTCAAGTGTTCGCGCACAAACAAGTGCCTATATGCATACCAGGTGCACCAGAAGAGACATCGCATCTGGGCTGCGAGGTTATTTGACGGAGTCTGCCTGCTCAGTGTCAGCATGCATGATCGCCTTCGCACCTGTGCTGTTTCGAAGAGCTCCAGGGCAGTTACTCATGGTAAGTTTAGTCAGCCTGCAGTAGATGCTTGCATCCCCAATGCATTAACTGACGTCCAAGGCAAGGCTTTTCCCAGATGCTTGGGAACAGAATCTTGCAGGGAGTGCACGACATCCTGAGCATCATGGATGACAAGGCAGTCGTTTCGGCTACTGGTGGAACTGCTCGGCAAAGCCACTACTATGTACTAATGACTACTAATGAGCACGATACAATATGGTCGGTTCCGAGGCTAGGTTTCCGTTGCAGGTTTGTGTAAGCGAGTGCCAGCACGAGGCTTACCTTTACATAGTTGTTTGATCAGGTCGAGAACCTCGTCGCCGAAGTTGCTGCCATGCGCAAGGACATGCGCGGCAGCTCATTTGCACCAGGAGTTCCAGGACAGTCGCAATCCTTGTCGGTCATAGGAGTCATAGGTCCTTACCGTGCTGACGTGCACAGCTATTCGGCATGATATTGGGTGGCTCTACTGCCCGCTAGCCGCTAGCCTACACAGTGAATCGAAGAGCCAGCAGCAGCATGCACCACACTGCGAAAGCTGCAGCCCAAATTGCATCAGTGTCTTGGACTGACACAGGCAAGCCTTCTTGATGAGCCCCAAATGCGAGCCTACAAAAACTGAAGGCTTGGAGCCGACGCAGGGAGTCCTGCAAGGTGTCCAGTGGTGACCCTGCTGCAAACAAGTCGCAACTGTCGCTGACAGAAAGGGAGTCGCACAGTTTGGCTGAACCTGCACAGGCCATGTTGAGAACCAAGGTGCTGTCATGGGTCGAATAAAGTTTTGGACCAAATCCTAATGGTGTCAGTGATTTGATAATTACGTGTGCACCGTGGAACTACTGCTCGAACACCTTGAAGTCGAGTCGCGCAATTCTGCAAGGCTGGACGACAGGATAGAGGGAAAGCTGGATGCTATCATTCACCAGCTGAGAAGTGGCAAACTTGAGCGGGAAGGCACGGCGAGTTGTGACAACTCGCGTGTCGTCCCTGCCCACGCAGGGACGGGCTGACTGTTGAATGTGGCTTGTTTTGCAGACCCGTTCAATAGCGAAAGGGGGGGCTCGTTGTTCTGGGTTTTGCAGGGTGGGGGTCCTGGATTTGGACAGACCACAACTAGTCCAGCTTGCTTGTGAGTGGTCGAAACTAGGTTCTGTGTCCGGACTCCCGCAACCTTTCAACTCGACATACATGTTGAATGCCAGATGGCGTTGGCCTGGCAGCGACTTCGCTTCGAGTAGGGGAAGCTGCTTGACAACAAGGGCTGTTGCTCTGTGCACCTTCTGTGGACACTGGTTGGCTTGCACCAGAAACTCTGTGCGCGCTCGCTTCCGAAGCACTCACGACAGGCTCAGCATTTTCGTGTCAAGAGCTAAGAGCAATGCCTGCTCTTAGGACTCGCCGCAGGGCCAGATCGGCCAAGGAGGCCCAGTAGTCCCGAAGAGAAGCTCGACTGCATCTGTAACATTCACCACAGAGGACTTCCCAAAACAGGGGCTGCAAGATCTTACTTGAGGGGAGCCCCGAAGGTCGATTCGCGCAGTTCATACACACGATGAATACCCGACCCAGCTGCTCGGATACAATCAAGTCTAAAGTAATCCGGTCTTGCGCTGGAGGTGCAGAGATGCAGTTGGGCTAGCAGGGTATCTGAGCATCTATCAGAGCGCACGAGGTTGAACACTGCTGAGATCATCTGACTACTTGTTGCAAGTCGATACAGGTCGAGGATGCATCAGCTCAGTAAAGCATTCAGAAAACTGGAGAAGGGCATGCGACGGAGAATGGAGTTATCCTGAAGCTGAAGCAATACACAAAGCGAGGTTGACAAGCCATCAGCTCGGTGGTTGCTCAACATAGCTTGTGTTTTCAATCACTGGTTCATCGCACTTTCAGTCTCATAATTTTCGAGTTGATGACTGGGACGTGGTGCAAGTGTTGCCGACCCCAAAAGTTCAACAATCGTTAGTTGATTGATGATCGGAGGCATTCTGAAATATGGATTCAAATAGGTAATGCAAGCAGTGAATGCGTTGGCAATTTCTTGCTTCCCGCTCGGCAGAAATGACCGGTCGGACAATCTGCGGTCAGGGAGAACGGATTGCGGCATCACTCCCTGTCATGGATGTGCTTGAACAGCTTCCTCGAGTCGTTTCAGCAGGAGCTGCCATCTCCTTTGCCCTTCGGCACTTCCGTAGTGTAGCATCCTGCAGCCGCAGCCAGCTGCCTTTGTGGTTAATGTTGGTCCGGACTGCACGAGGCGAGCTTGCTGCGGATGAAGTTGTTCCGGATCTCCATGATGCCAGGTCGGTTGCCTGATATGCTCGCAGTCGTATGTCCGCTTCGTAGAAGCCGTTTGTGCATACGGTAGTTGTTGTATGGAAGTTCATCGAAATAATGCAGTTGACACGTTGATGAATTGCTGCCTGTGCTGCAGGGCACAAACATCCCACCAGTTCTCTTCGGGGCGTGCCAGCGAGGCAGCCACAGAGGACACCTCGTTGCAGTAGCAGACGCTCGGATGTGCCGGAGCACACATTAGGCCACAGCTTCGTGCTGGCTATCCTTCCAGGGCGCCATTACTCGCTAAGCTGAACCGATTCAGGTGGGCTTGCTGGTGAGGACTGTTGAATTTGTTATGTGCAGGATCTCGACCACGTGTGGCTTGGACTTGTTGAACTGTGCTGAGTCCACGCAGTGGCCAGGGTCGAAGAAAACAGCCGTTGGGTAGCTTGGTCTTCTGACACGTCCATTCCAAAATGAACTGCGAAGGGTCTACAAGACTAGACTGCC